ACTACTACTACTACTACTACTACTACTACTACTACTACTACTACTACTACTACAACAACAACAACATAACATTCAGAGGAATAGAGACATGGTTCAATGGTCGAAATAACAACAGAGTGTCTGGGGAGTATGTTGTTCTATTTTCCTTTTCAGTTCGGGGCTCCAAACATTTCGAACAGATAGGCTACCATACACACACACACACACCACCAACAACAACAACAACAACAAAAGAAAATTCAATTGAAATAGGAGAACTGACCTGGTACCGTCCAGACATGAGCTGACTACGAGTGGGTGAACAGAGGGGCTGGACATAATAGTTCTCTAGTTTTACTCCATCAGACGCCAGCTGGGGAAGGAGAGTTGAAAGAGAACGTTCAATACACAAGATGGCCTTGTAACGTAGGCTCTTTGGTAGCTTTGGCTAGGTCGGTTAAGGGGGAGGGGGTGTTGTTTTATGGGATTTTTTGTTTCTGTTGCCGGTTCTGGGGTTTGTTTGCTGTTGTTTTGTTTTTGTGTTTGTTTGTTTTTTGTTTTGTTTTTTGGGGGGGTTCTTTTTTTGTGGGGGGGGGTTTGGGGGGAAGGCGTGTTGGGGTGTTGTAAATACGTATCAGCGAGTTAGGATCTGCGCAATTGGGAAAACCTCCCCAGAGATTTAACGGAGAGTTACAATTGTTGCATCAACACTGAAAAACATACCATTCATCTGGAAAAGACAATGCAAAGATACAAAAATTATCTATTCGAAAAAGTACCATTTCCCTCACCACGATATAGGCATGTGAGGGATGGGCCATCTATGAATAAGATAAAAATGGATTCTAGATTCATTACTCTCCAGGTATTGCAAAATACGAAATCATTGTGTTCCGGTGGGAAAAAGGGGGAGGTAGGGGGGGGACCAAAGTCTTAGTTCTCATTATCAGCAGTAGTTTCGATAGTCATACCTTATCAAGAGTTGGAGTAGAAATCTGGGAGCCGTGGTAACCAATGTCGTTGAAGCCGTAGTCGTCGGCAAAGACAAAGATGATGTTTGGACGTTTTTGGTTGCTGTTGTTGTTGTTGTTGTTGTTGTTTTTGCTGTTGCTGTTGTTGTTGTTGTTGTTCATGCTGGCGCTGTTGTTAATGTTTCCGCTCACAGCTGACAGCCACATAGCAAACAAAAGTGGTAGCCACATCTTCATCATCATCTGACGTGAAGAGTGAGCCGCTGTCTAATGAAACTCAGTCTCTCTATCTCTCTTTGTCTCTCTCTCTGTCTCTCTCTTTTCACTCCCAGAACTGGAACCTGGCCTCCCTGCAGATCTTACTTCACACATGATGTTACTCAGGTGATATTTATGTGAAAGATTATCTCTGTAGTGTTGAGGACACGCCTTTGAGGAGAACTAAGATTAGCAGCAGAAATGAAAAGACTGATAGGAAGATCACGACTCTTTGAAAAAAAAAATGAGTTTCAGGGTTTAAAAGGAGACTTTGGATTAAACTTTAAGCAACGCTCTGGATGGACTGATGTAAGATAAAAATAAAAAAGAATGTAAAAAAGAAGACCATCGGTTGGTTGGACTGTTCAGAGGCGAGCTGATCTATGCCTATCCCTCTCTCTCTCTCTCTCTCTCTCTCTCTCTCTCTCTCTCTCTCTCTCTCTCTCTCTTTACATCGTTGCTTTTAAGCACAAGGGGGCTATCCCGAAAATGCTGTTTTGAGAAAATCGAATGTAAAGTTTTTTGGACCCATGAAATCTATCTTTAAAAGACAAGGAGGGTTTTCTCTATAGCTTTATTAAACTATAACCAAACAAATATACACACCAATGCAACCAAACTTCTTCTATAGGTAGGGGGAATGCCCTCTTTTGGTGTAGGTCAAGATTTCTGGAAACTCCGATATCTGTCCTCAAAAGCGACCACATGTAGGCCAACTTTCACACCAAAAAAAAAGGGTGGGGCGTGCGTACAGAGATGAGCGCGGCACAGATCCTGACCTCGCGGAACAGGGGAACGACCTTGACCGTGGCGCAAACTTTTCTGCAAGTGTTTTTTTGTTTGTTTGTTTGCTTGCTTTTGGTAAGTGTTCTACGGTGCTCGCAACTGCATAAGGTCATATGAGTGCGCTGGACACATTAAACATTTTCAGTTGGTAGGAAATTTTAAATTTTGTCCGGGTGGCGGCCGAAGCCTACTCTTATCGATTTTAGACCACCAAGAGATCTTTAACGTGCACAACTTGCACACGGGACCTCCGAGATTTTTCGCCCTTGTCCGAGGTGTAGATCTTTCCTACCATAAGATCAGGGGTGTGGCTGAAAGACAGAAGTAAGAAGGAGCCAAGGAGTTGCAGTAGAAAGGCTTCAGAAAGAGTCAGGTGCCCAGAGGAGGGGGGCAAAGGAGGTGAGGGGGGTGGGGGAAGAAAGTGGAGACAAAAACAGACAACAGAACATTGCTATAGAGCAATATTAAGGAGGAGAAAGGAGGTAATTTTAGAGAAGAATATTTTTTGGCCGCTACCCGGATCCGAACCCGGGACCTTTGAATGAGAGTTGAACATCTTAACCTCTAGGCCACGAGAGACCCGACCGCAAGTGCAAGGACTGCTAGGGAATGGAACATTGGCTGTGCCGGAATCAGCACCGAAAGAATGGTACAGCCCTCAACCCTAGAGCTTTAAATGCCACAAAACAGCGTGACTTTAGTAAGGCTTTGTTGGATGACTAAAATGAGCGTCCCAGCGAGTAGGCCACAAAAGTGAAGCGTTCTTCAACCTAGTAACGAGCTTTAATGATCTCATCATCATTGCCTTTCTCACCCTCAGTCAGAATATAGGCCACGAACAAACACTTTCCACCTTTCCCCATCCTGAGCTAGTAGCTTGAGTAGATTATATAAGGATAAACTGCGTCAATATTTCGCTACTCTTCAATTACTAATTAGTTCTATCTGCTCAGAACATAGTTTTGAAACAAAATTGGACGCAAAACGTTTCAAGTTTCACAACATGTCAAGCTGTTCCGAATGTCATTATTTGAATATCTTGTTAACGACTCAGAATAATCTTACTAACCATAAACAAAAGACCACACAAATGCAGAACTTTCTGGGAGATGTTAACTTTTATTGCACATTTATTAGTCTTCGCACATCTTTGAATTTGTCAATTGAACTATTATATTCAAATATTATTTTTTTAATATATAAAAGTCAAGAATAAGAACTAAATGCACACGTACGTCATACATCATAATCGTAAAGGTGTGATGTCAGCTGATGCCTCAATAGCAACGAGGAAATTAAAGAAAAACAAAAACAATATCAGTAGCAATTGCTAAAATAGCAACCGAGAAGGATTCTAACGAGAGTGAGTCAAAAGGTAATGAAAGCTTCAAGAAAAAAGAACACACTTGCAACTATCATACCGCAGATTAAAGGGGGACATCTGAGGATCAGATTTTTATTTCTCAACATAGTCTCAAGTTTTGTTGAATAGCCACTGTCCACCTTTTACTAAATTCTGCAGCATTGGCAATTAAAAATGTCATTAGGAAAAAATTACGACAGGAACATAAAAAATGTTTTGCCTAAGATGAGTTTGTTGCCAAATAGATCTACATTTTTATTTACCAAAAGACTTTTAATTTTAATTTAAACAAATAGCACATAATTCCAAAGACAAATTCAAGAAACAAATCAGAGTCACCAACACAACAACGCAAAGAAAAGACCAAAAGGTGTCTACTCCCACGGTCCCCAAAACGAGAAGTTCAGGCTCTGGTTTCTGAATAGTAAATCAAGGAAACTGTGCGGAGGCAATGGCACGACACGTTGTTTTGGAACGACAGATATCGAGACATTCTGGCATTCCTAACTTTGGAGCAAGACTCAAGAAAGATGTCTCCGACTACCTATCGCCAGAGAATCTTGACAGTACAAAGGGACATAACTCGGCAGACGTATACAAAATAGAGAATCGTCTCTAAAAAGAAAATGCCGCTAGAAACAAACAAGGAGAAAACTTAAAGCTAAAAAAGAAACTGCCACTCAAAAACAAAGAAAGCTTAAAGCTATCTACTCCCAGGGTCCCCAGACTCCTCCGTGCAGGGCTGGGTTACTTCTCTTGTCAAAGGGCGGGAACCGTACAGGGACGGCTGTCTGGTTAAACCGCTGTAGATATCCCAGGAGGGTCCGAACCATGTCCGGCATGTGGTCAGACAAGTCGTGGTGCTCGGTCGGGTCAGCTGTGATGTTGAACAACCACACGTTCTGATGAGGTCTCCGGTGGTCTGTGGAAAATAACAAAACAAAACAGGTATTTACAAAATTGTCGAAGACTACCCCTTTCCGACATTTTCTGCCTTATATACCCAATACCCCGAACAAATGACATCATTTTCCCCTTACACTCCCGAGCACAACACTTCTTAACCCCCCACCTTTCCCCCTCCCCCACCCACCCAAACCCAACGCAACCCCAAACAACCCGCCCCCATCATCTTTCCATTCCCTCGTCCTCCCCCTGCCTTTCCCACCCTCCCCTTCCCACCACCCATCCCTCATTGGATGTGGTACTGCCACTGCTTTGTCTCCAAAGGGCAGTAAAAAGTATAGTTAAGTTTCTACGTAGAAAATAGAATCTTAAGATGTTTTAAAAATAATATAATAACATTAAAACTAGATGAATGTGTACATTTTCGTGGGTTTTAGTCATTTGCATGCGCCATATCTAATTATAATGGCTTAATTCCAATTGACTGCTTTCTACGATGTGACCACAGGAACTTGTTGATTAATTTATCTTTTTATCCCTTGCCCAATTATATGAGATTGACGCCATTTGATTAGTAGATTAAAATGCGTATGATAGTGTCCAATAGTTTATTACGTGCATATTTAGTATAACAAGTAACTGTAACAGCAGAGAGAGATTTCAGGATTATAGATGTAAGTAATTGATCTGACAGCGGTAATGACTCAAAATATAATGGTGGTAATGAGTGATGATGTGGGGTTGCGTTTAAGTAATGTTAGCGTCAGTCCTATCTTCCTCTGCTCCAATGAGTCACGAGGGACGTGGGCACCCTCTATCCCGTTCCTTACTGGAACCATCTTTACGGCCACCGTGAAGTTCCGAATTAATGGTGGGCACACACTCTGTCAAGGTGACATTGTTAGTGTTAGCCTACTCTATCAGGCCAAGACGGGGAACTTGTTGATATTATTCTGTTACATTTCCTTAGGAAACATCAGGTTTGTGCTTAGTATTCTGTGTCTCCAACAGGTAAGTCTGCTTCTTTTTTTTTTTTTTTCCTTTTGATGTTGAAGTTTTGCCCTTTTTCGCAGCGACGCTCCAACCCATTGTGCACACGTTTTCAACATGGCGAGCATGCTCGATTCAAATGGATTGCCACTCTGTTTCATTGTGAACAGGGACGTTCGTTCTTGGGACACGGACCAAGTAAGAGACATAGAAATTTGTAGAGCTATGGAGAAGGTGTGCGGGGAGGGACAAGTAATTGGGGCGCACAAGGAACTGGTTGATAGTATACGCCTCTCACCTGGCTCATACTTGTGGGATGATCCAGGGGGCGGTACCCAGCTCCCGTTGTAAGGTTCCCCGGTGATGAGCTTCATGTGGCCCACCCGTACAGCCGCCCTCACCGTTGTGTCGAAAGTGTCGTTGTACAGAGGGACGCCGTGTTTGGGCTGTAGCGGGTCAATGTTGTGGAGCAAGACGGTGCGTTTGCTGGGAGTGCCGCGGCTGTGGAGGGGGGGGTCATAAAATGGTAGTTAACACTGGCCGGAGAGGAAAAGGAGAGTGGTTTGGGGGGGAGGGGGAGGGGGAGGGGGGTTTTTATTCCCTGAACGCCCCCATCGGCGTAGGGAGAGAGTGGTGAGAACTAGGACAAATTTTTGTCAGGCGTCGTGGGGAAATCAGGCACTCGTTAATTTTTGAGCGTATGGAGATATGGAGTTATTGGTATCACCTTAAAGCCTGTTCGTTTACCTTCCTTAACGTAAAAAAATGTTCATTTATGTTGAATAGGAGTCGAAATATTTGTGATTGAAGGAGGTTTGCGTGTTTTCAGAGTAAAAATGTGCGAGAAAATGACCGCCAAAGTTTGGTAACTTCTATAGACTGACAGTTCTTGAAAACTGAAAATTTACATTTTTTTGTGCCTTCAATCAATGCATTTCAGTAAAATCCACACAAAAATGTGCTTTTAAATGGACATAAAAGTTGCTGAGCCAAAAGAATAAAATCATTTAAAAATTTCTCATCAGCAAAAAAACCTCACGTTCTTTGATTTCCTTATTTTGACGAGTGCCTGATTTCACCACGATGTCTCACTTTTGGCGTGTCACAAGTTTAACTCTTTATTCTCATTCAATGTGAAACATTCCGACCTGATATGAGTTACACATGAAACACCACCAAAGGGACAATAAAATGTACAAAACGTATGCATTTATTATCTTTGATAAACAGAATTATACGTGTTATACGTGTTTTCAAACATGGTCTGTGCAGGTGGGGAACTGGGACAGTGGCACGTAAATTGGGACGGTGATTGGGGTGAGGTGGGACAGTGGCAGATACATTGGGACGGTGATTGGGGTGAGGTGGGACCGTGGCAGATACATTGGGACGGTGATTGGGGTGAGGTCCGCTGATGCTTCATTGACAGTCTTACCATTCTGGACAGCCCCCACCGACTTTCTCCATAATTTCATTTGTGATGTATTTCTCAAAAAATCATTTTGACAGACTGCTATGCAAAGCGTACGGATCGGATTAACGAGTAAGTTTCCTCTTTGGAAAGTGGTGGCACAGAGTTCCCCACGTCGTATGGATACGATAGTAAAACACGACGCACGGATAGGGTTAAGTGGTGGCACAGAGTTGCCCACGTCGTATGGATACGATAGTAAAACACGACGCACGGATAGGGTTAAGTGGTGGCACAGAGTTGCCCACGTCGTATGGATACGATAGTAAAACACGACGCACGGATAGGGT